TTACAAATTATATTCCTCATGTTAAGAAATATAAAATTTAATTTGAGCATAAAATATTTGGATTTGAATTTATTTCTATATGATCTTTATGATAATCGAATAAAAAGTTATTTCGTGCATCAAATTGACTAAGCACAAAATCATAAATACAAGTTTCTATTTCACTTATGTTATCTTTGTGTTGTAATTAGAATAATAGAAGATCTATATCCAATCTACATATACAAAGTTCAGCAATATATTCTAGTTATCAACATGAATATTGACCATAATTTATTAATTTAATTACTGCTGCAATTCATTCTTATTTTTGTAATTGGGGTTCAAATATAAATGCAAACAAACATTTTTTCATGAAAGCTCACAATTCTTGTAGCAATGTACAAATATTTTGATCAATATTTTCATTATATTGTGATTCATCTACTTAGAATCAGGTGTCACAAACTCCAATATGAGAGTGTCATACTCTAGATATTAACATGGTTTGAAAAAAATAAATTCAAAACATTACATTCAGCTAATTTTTTTTAACCTAAAATTGAGGTGTAAAAAATTAAGTATATGGTTTTCATTTTATTTTGAAATAAAATTATTATGATTTTATAAAGATCATATCACATCAACAAATCATACTATATTAGCTTAACTATCATCATATTACAGGTGATTTCAACATCAAGTAATCATTTTTTGATCCATTAATATACTTCATAAATTGATAGCATAAATTGGATAGAATAATTAAAACGGTTCATTTTTATGGCTATCATTTGTAGTTTCTCATAGATGTTAATTTGTAATTGTTGTATTGATGTATAAAACAATAATTACATGAAGAATAAAAATTTTATTTTATCTTGATCTTGAGAAAATTATTATGCAGGACATTTTGTTCATTAATTTAACAATTTGAATATTTTATAAAATTTTAATATAATTTTAAAATTATAACACATATATCTCATGGTTAAGTAATCTGATACATTTTCTTTAATTCTATATCATGATTAAATTATGTTGAAAAAGAATGAATTATATATTTTGTAGGAAAAAAGTAAATTTTGAAATATAAAAACATTGCATTTTTGTATTTATATTTTTGTACAGATAAATAATATTTTTATATCATTTCTATTATAAAATTGATTACAATAATTTATTTGTTTGCAAATTCAACAATATCTATGTGCTACATTTATATAGAAATTTATCAAAAATAATTTTGTCTACTTTGCACTCAATCTGTTGCATCCTCTGCATTCATTTATATTTTTTTTCACACGTTTTATTTTATGTGATAAATGATTACTTTTTTCCATACATTTTTTAAGTCATAAATATAGATTGTTACGAAACATAATACTTATATAATGTTACATCATGAAAACATTATATATATTTAAAAATTTATAAGTACAATCATTCAATGAATTTTTACTATCATCTTATTACTCTCTATTGTTTGCTATTGATAATCATCTTATTTTGTTCCCATTTATTTGTTAAAAAATTGTATTAATTGTTTTGCTGTCAAAAAAGTTGAATGATATGTTTGATTCTTGAAATCTATAGGCTGAAATTTCATAATAAATAGTTTAGCATCTCACATGAAAAACTGAATGATAGATGAATGCTTGATATTGTGATGAACGAGACAAATGGAAGAAACTCTGCAATTTGAACACAACATCTCATAGCTTACATGGAAAAATGAATGATACATGAATGCTTGATATTGTGTTGAACACAAAATTTCATAGCTCACATGGAAAAATGAATGATATATGAATGCTTCATATCGTGTTGAACACAAAATTTCATAGCTCACATGGAAAAATGAATGATATATGAATGCTTGATATCGTGTTGAACACAAAGTCTCATAGCTCACATGTAAATGTGAATGATATATGAATGCTTGATAGTGTGATGAACGTGACAAATATAAAAAACGGTACAATTTGAACAAAAATCTCATATTTTATTTTGTCTTGAACGTTATATTCTTCAATAATTGCTAATAGAATATCTATCTAAGTCTTCTATTTTTATTCGCTAGCATGAAAAGGTAGATAACACAATCAGTTAGTTATGGCTATTCAAAATTTAATGTTTAGCTAATTGATCATGTTTTATAAAAGTTGCCTTACTTCAGAAATGTATTAATGCATGATCGTAAAATTTTGTTTCTTGCTAATTTTCAAAGGTTAGTATTTAAATAATCTTTGCCAACTCTACAACTTTATTCATCAATCCATGATTTAAATGGCCACTTACCACCATTTTGTGTGACTATACTTGACACATCCATTTAGTCGACTATATTTAACCTAATCATTGTAATACTGAACATCTAGTTTTATGTTGGGATCTTACATAAAGTCACATAAAGTTAAATTAATCTTGTTGGTCACCACTATCATGAAATTTTCTTGGTAACATAATCTACTTGGAAATAACTGATCCTCGCCACACATACTTATTCTTTTAGTATGAAATGAGAATTAGAATTTGTATTGATCTATCCAATCAAACATCATTGTGCCACTATAGCAATGATATCTTCGTTGCAAAAAAAGAAGAAGGAAAAAGAACTCAAATTTGTCTATCTGTCGCCTCACCCTACTTCTAATCTGGTACTTGTGATTTTATAAGCACATAATTGACTCATACCATTATACATCTTGAATAAAGCGATCTCAATTCCAACATTTCAAGAAGAAACGAGGATATGTGTAATCGTAATCCAAATTTATCAACGAGCAACATTTTTACGTAGTTGCTATGTCATGACACAACAAGAAGTCGTATACACATCTTGCAAATCAAGTGCGACCTTACTTACTTACGTGTGAGTGATGAAAATATAGATGGATGCAACAAGAGAATACGAAATTTCCTGTTTATTATAAGTTGCGCACCGTGAAGAAGACACATTTTGGGAAACATAAAAAAATTAAAAGAAAGATCAGATTTGTGTAAAAACTCTAACATGATGACAAATCGATGGGGAAAATTGTTTTGACCACTATAACTGGTAGACGTGTACTTTTGACTTGAAACATACAAAGTCTTATTGTGAGGAAAGGATAGGTTTTGGAGTTATCCTATTTCCGAACTAGAATAACAAATTTTGACGGATGTAAAGTCATCGGTAACGTGAAACAGATTCACAAAGATTTGGAACAAATCTGATGTACATAAAAAATAATAACAGTATTCTCTCCTCTCTATAAAAGGACTTCAGGTCATCTGGTAAAACTGTATTCAGAAAATGACTTTTGGCTACTTTCTGTTTGTGACGTAATGATTCATAAATCCAGTTATAAGTGGATAAGCTTGAAATGGTACATGTTCAACAATCCCTGCGCAAGAATTTTTGTACACACAGTTTCAACCTCAGCGGCTTATATTTCAGTCAATGTAGTGATAGCCAAGGCATTCATTGGCATAGGTTCGTCGCTTGGAACTTCGTTTTTTACGTGCGATGGAACCACCATAGAAGCCATTACTGTAGAGCTATGACAATGCAATTGTAGAATTTCAATTACAAATGATGTTGTCATGGTATGTTTCAACAGGAGAGATAATAGAGAAAATTTTGAAGCTAAGGTAAGAGGGGACATACACAGCCCAGACAAATTGTTTACTGAAGCTCGGAAGGATGAGCATTGATTGCAATGTGAGCGCAAACAGTTTTTCTCCCCCTGATAATCAAGTTTTACTGGTTCTCCCGAAGCACATCACTCATAGTTCTCTCCACCAAGAGCATAATGGCTTCGCGACTGGGTTACAAACACGTTAAAAATCTTTCAACGCACCTTCTTATAAGTTTTCGAGGAGCAAACTCTTGGTAAGTTCATGATTCGTGCTGTTTTCGTTTTCTACATAATCACCGCGTAATCAAGATACATTCCAACAGCCTAAAATCCTAACTGGCAATCGACACCGAGTCCAGACGCCAGAAGCAAGCTTTATGAATACGGACATGGTGGATTCATGCCTTCTTACTGTCGCAGTAAATATGCTACAACGAGAGAAAACCACCATTATCCTCCCTGTCAACTGCAGCTCATCATGGGAAAACACCCACACCAGCGCTGTACAGTCAATTCTTATTCGATGATACGACATAATATGATACGTCAATTCAGCAGCGTTACGAGTTCCACCTAGAGCCATTGGACGTCCACCTCGGTTGCGTTCCTTCCATCAACGAAATCCCTAACACGAGTGTAGTTCAAGCGGTATCGCGATGTAAAATGTGAGTTTTTCCATGTACCATTATCCGATTCAAATTTTCAACAAACAGTATTCCATACAAATACTAATCGAATGATTTGGCGGCCTATCGAACATTTGTTCAAAGTGTGCACAGTTCACTATACCACACAGTGAAAAAGAATTTAACCTTGTACATATTTCGATAATTGAAATATTCTTAACTTTAGAATCGATAATCACTTATTTCATCTCGAGAACGTGTACGTGGATTTGCCCTGACCATTGTCTCTTCTTTTCTACGCATGAAGTATCAACGCTCATGCTGTACAACAATCACCGCCATCCCATCGGAATCTTGGGTGCTATATTATGCAATAAGAATGGTGTATGAGCGATACGAACACTCGGTGAATCTAAAATAATATCACAGTTATCAATGATGAAAGAGTAAGATTCTTATTCAGATTCAGCATGTGTTCATTTGACTTTTATAAATCAGAACTGAAACTCATGACCGTAGAAAAAGTAAGCTACAGTATGTGAGGAAGATGGAAGATGTAAGGAAAGGTGGAGCCAAGATACACTTTAAGGTGACTTTGAGCAAGAGCGTCAAGTGAAAACGTGGTGGAGCAGTAAAATCCGAGGTTTCGAATGCCCGGTCAACTTACCAAGGTGAAGTGAAATCGGTCCTGGCGGTAGAGCGCCAGCCAGCCCAGCAAAGGGACTGTGACATGGCATTGCAAGGTCAGGGAGGGACGGAACGGGTGAGTTAGAGTACGACAGGCGGGGAGTGACTCCAAGGTAGGAGGAGGGAGGTTTGAGTGACCCCGGTCAGAGTGTCCCAAGTGAGAGTTTGACGTGCTTTAACGATGAAATCACGTCGACCAGCAGAGGAAGAGTCTGAAGAGGAGAAGAGGAGAGGAGAGAAGAGAGGGAGAGGGAGCCGGTGCTGCTGCCCTGCTGCTCTGCTCTGCTCTGATCTGTCGAAGACAAACTCAAAAAGAGTGGACGAGGCGATGACGACGACAACACACTTCGCTCGGAAGTAAGACAGGATTGATCAGTCAGCTGTAATGTCGTCAGGTGAGGCATCTCGACCCGAACCCCTACTCGTGTCGTTCGTCCTCATGGCATGCGATTGCGGGCAGCGAAGTGGCTGCTTCCAGAAGTTTTAACATCGGCACACGCTGCTGTTGGGGAGGGAAAGTTTTGAGAGTGTAAACCTAAGGTTATGGAGTCTTGGGGGCCTCGGGGAGGAGAGGGACGGAGGAGAGGACGAGGAGGAGGTGGTGGTGGTGGAGGAAGAGTCATGGTGGTGGTTGACCTGTTTGTCACAGGGGAGGTTCTGCCTTGAAGGCTGAGGACCGGAATGAAATTTGTTGTACAGGAGTTGATCAGGTCGGTCGGCATTGAACGTCTGATCTCTCACCCCGTGGTGATGCAAGGGGTGGAAAAGCTGATTAATTTCAGCATAGTGCAGCGGTAAGCACTGTACGGCAGAGTGTGGAGTGTGTGAAACCTCGGTCAGCTTATACAGCGAGGAAGATGGCTAAGCTTTTCGGTTGCTGCCGGTGCAATTGCAGTAGCAGGCTTCTGTAAATGCTCAGTTTATACCTCTATCTGATTCCTCGGCTCGGCAATTGTTCACTGTAGGTGAATGAAGAAGAATGCCCTGTTTGCGCTAATTATCGATTGGAGTACCATACCATACAGGTATTGTAACTTTTCACTGTACTCTGCTTGCTAGCTCAATCTTGTAGTATCTGTCGCTTAGAATGATGCATAGATCTCACGTCGGTCGTAAGTTGGTCACTGGTGCGAGATTGGGGTGGAATGAGACTTCTTTTGCCGATCGATTATTCTTGGTAGGGTTTGCCGGGTAACGGCAGATTTTCTTGTCACAAAGTACTGAAATAAGTCTGGACACCCACGGATATGTATCCGAGGGTTTAAGTTCCAATTGTACATATTTATTCCCTGATTTTTAACTACACACTCGCAGATTTTCATCTCTTACTCTGTCATCATGTTGCCCTAACTCTTAGACATAGTCCAGATTTTATATCCAGCATACTCCTTTATTTCTCCACCTTATACGTATTGATCTGTCTATTTTTACATCTTCTATTCCCGCTCGGTATCATTGGTATCTTGATGAACCACCTATAGTTCAATACCACGAAGAAGCTTGTCACCTGTAAAGTTATGCGTAATGTTTCCTAACACGAATGTTACGGAGATTTGACCAATCAATGAATTTTTTCTGTCTGAATTCTACTAGGAATCATGATCTCTAGCAAAGAACAACAAGCGGCAATTTATTTCATCATTGTTTTAGTAAGGGTTGTTTTTACATTAATAAAAATATAGAATAAGTGAAGTCGATACAGTTAGATTTTTGCGCGACTTCGTGAAATTTCGAAAAAGACATTATTCTTGTGTACTATGCAAGCAAAGGTAACAGTATTTTGTCTAAAATTTCATTCAATATCAGTAGATCTGAATGCAGTTCTATTCTTAAATCTAGCAATTTTGAAGTGACAATACGGTAAACCTTCAAATCTGATGAATCAAAAGTTACCTCATCCCCTTGTCCTGACAGACTTAGAAGAAAATTTTGAGAAAATTAATGTTTAAATGAACTTTAGGAACATACTTGTAACATATCTTACTAAGATGATTACTCAAAAGTGAGTGTTACTGGATACAGTTGAATGCCCGATTGAATACATTCTGTATGTTAGAATTGTCATCTCGGCTACTTTTTTTCACACGGCCGCTAGATCCAAATGCATGCTTTTCGAAGAAACATGGTGAAGTCGAGTTGTAAGATTGTGATATATATTTGGACTTTTTATTTCGCAAGTCCACTCTGATCTTCTTGATAAATTCGGTTGGAATGTTCATTTCCACAGAACATACTAGCACACAGATATTTGATAATGGGTGGAATGATGTCTTCTGTCATGCGCAAAAATATAGCAGATGGACGAGTGAGGTTTTGGATAGACTTGTTAGGGGCATAATGTTGATCTGTATCATCATTGTTTGTCATCTAGCAAACTGATGGTCTTGAGCGAAGATTTGTAGCAAATAAGACTTGCAGTGCCACTTCTATCAAGAAAACACTATCCTGACTTATATGTGCGCTTTGATTTCGAAAAGCGAGCGTGATCATTCTGATGATTGAGAAGGGGGTTTTTCTCTCTATAGCTTTCTGGTAATTATATTATGGTCCTTATTATATGAATAGTTGATCTCTGATACCAATTATAGATTGAATTAATTATTACCAATTAAGATTTTCATACTCTTGCGACGATACGTGCTCTAGTCAAGTAAATATGCAAACGCTGATTATGAATATTTTCTCTTTGCATGTACTCCTTAGAAAGATCTTTTCACGAAGTTTTGTGCTCTCTGCATAGTTGTGTTTGCGTCTTTGCGTGCTATACAATACCTAGAATAGATCTTGGCAACGGTTTTGTGCATTCCCCATCCTATTGTGGTTCTAGTTCTCGTCAACGTGCTGGATCCCTGCATAATCCTATCCATCAACTGCTAGCTGGATTTTGTTAAGGTGGAATGATGTTGCGATGGTACTGGTTCTTGTTCTCGTATCAGATACAAGCTCACCGTGCCTCCAAAACGGAGGTGCACTTACTTTTGTGCATGTAAATTCACTTCCATGATCTGTGAATGCATGCTTTTTTCTCCCACACCTGCTTGTGTGTTGTGCTTGGATTCAATCTAATCCTCGCCGTTTTAGTGTACAAATATATGCACGTTGGTTTGAAGGTGAAGCAGCCGAATAAATGTAACGGGTATACGTACTCTGCTCATTTCAACATTGATGATCATCACTGGCCATCAGTCTTTCTTATGTCGTACTTGCATTTCATACTACTCTTTAGCTTCCCAGTCATCGATAGCTGGACTTCTTTTCCTACTTTCAATTCACATTGACTTCCCTTTTTTACCAGATGATTGTATGTAACGGAGACTTTGGACAGGTACCTTGAAGCTTCTCATTTGACCTTGAATTTTGCTGTTGACTAAGGATGCCATCAGCCTTTCCTACGTCACTTACCACCTGAACCGAGATCTTTTGGCCAATGCCACGCGGTTGATCATGTAGGACTCATGTAGTACGATATCTAAGTAGACTAATGTTACTTTTCCCTAGGTTTCTCGCCCTTTCATTCTCTTCCTGCTTCTCTTCACATTCATGTCTTCTGAATTGATGTTGAAACTGACTTGCGTTTATTTTCACAATTAAAGAGTTATGTAGTTCGATGCATGACTCGTCTTTAAATCAGCGGGATGCAAGTAGGTTGCAATACGTCCACTTCATAGGTGGAAGGATGTTACTATGCTGCAGGTGCAAATAGAACTTCCTAGAACTGACACATTTTAGTTCAATCAAAGCCCCTCGTATTGAGTACTTGTACTCGATCTTGCTACGGCAAATTGAATAGGTTTTTTTTCACACATTCTTTCTATTTGTTCTTTAATTCCCGTGATTCTCTTAGTTTTAGCCTTCTCTTTAGCCTCTCGTCTTCTTTCTAGAGCTAAACAATATTTGCCTAAAGTCAGGGCCACTGCCATGGACACTGTTTTGATTTCTTAGCTTTCAGTTATCCCGAGCCCTGTGCGGTCTAGTCCTGAAACCTCTTCACCTCGTTATTTATTGATGAAGCAGCCTAAAAAACCTGACGAGCACACAACTTTTGCTTTGGGTCTCGTTGATATATGATGGAGCCTTTCTTGCATCCGAAGGGCATTCCACACCGCTTACTTACTTGTCCTATCATGTCTGCTATGGAGATAGACTTCTCCCCTTACCAACTCTTTTGAGTTTCTTCAGTTTCTGTTTGTATTGGCCATATGGTCTGTTCTTTTGCATGTACACATATTCTCTTTCTCTAGTTGTTAATACCTTGTGGGAGTGTACTTATATGCTGTCGCCCAAAAGATATGCAACCTCGATTTGCGCCGTTGTTGGTACTCTTGCATGACAAACCCTTAGGCTGCTCATTTTATCCGCGATGTATGAATAAAGCCCGTATAAGGTGTCGTTTCTTTCAGACTTATGCCATGATTACTGTTTGTATCTTTTCCTGGTCAGTTACTGTGTATCGACTTTCACAACAGATACAGCCCATGAGATTGGTAATCTGTTCTCGTTCCTTACCAGATCTTGTTTCGTTCCTTGTTGGTTTACTTGTTTTCGTTGTTCCCCTTGCGTGCTAGGCTTTTGTGGTTGATGACTTGTTATCTCATTTATTATAATGATCATTGATTCGAATGGCCTTGCGCAGGGTCGACCTTTTGAACAACCCTACCGAATCAGAGGTCACATTTCAGTTGATTCAACACTGCGCTCGTGGGAACAGAGCTGATTCACGAGGCTTTTACTTCGAGAGGGGAGAAGTTAGGGAGGTGGAGGAGGAAAAGTGTCTAAACAGGGAAGATATACGGAAAGACTTCCAAATTTTATTTAAGTCTTCTTCTGTTAGCTTCCTCCCTCCCTCCCTGCTTCGATTTTTTCATTTCCAACCATCCCTGGAGTCTATGCTATGAAGAATCTCCTCCGCAAACTACATATTGGTGGAAACCATGATGATCAAGTGGATGCTGGACGAATTATAGAAGGAAGATCGTACGAAGGTTCAGGCGGTTCAAATGCAGGACCTAGAGGGTCTTTGACCGGAGCAGCATCTGCTCCCGCTGCTTCTTCGAGTCCAACCTCAGCTAACACCGTTTCTGCCCCTCCAGAGCACAAACCCTCAGGCCTTACGACATTTTTGAATGCCGTCGGAAGTGCTGTTGGAAGAGTTGGTCAATCCAACTCTTCCAACAACAATCAGGTAACCACTGGAGGACAAGTGAGACAAAGGCTGGAGAACTCTGGTGGAAGTGGTGGCGATGCGGATTTGCAGACTTCCAAAGTTTCGAGCAAAAAACGAACTCCTTCACTAGGAGGAGGCGATAGTAATCAGGTTGATCTGAACTCTCTTCAGATTCTGCAGTCTGAGGAAGAGTATCAGGTCCAGATTGCTATGGCGCTGAGTGTCTCAAATAGCTACATAAGCCCTAGTGTCGCGAATGAAGCGGAGAAGGCGCAGATTGAAGTAGCCAAAAGAATTAGTCTCGGGCTGAGTCCTTCTTCGGGGAATTCTCAAGCTGACATCGTCTCTTACCGGTATTGGGTAGGTCCTCTGATGCTTCTTGTTCATGAATTCGCAACATTCCAAATCACATGAGATTTTGTGTAGCTATTGTTTGCATTACCTTGTGCTACGAGTGCAGGACATGGGATAAAAGCTAGTCTCTTGTTGTTCTTAATTGCTATATTCATGGCTCCTAATGTATGACATAGTTATGGCACATGGGACACATCATATAGGGGTCGCAGATCTAGAGGACCGTTGTTTCAGAACTGAACCGAGCTTTTTGTGCAATCAATGCAAAATGATAGATACCATCCAAAAAATAGAACAACTTCATTGCTGGCAGGTGCACATGAAATAAAGTCGTAGCTTGGCACTCTATCCATGTCGCTGTGAAGCTAGCAATCATTAAATTAATCAAATGAGTATGGATGTAGTAACATTTAGTTTTTACAGACTAGTTGTGCACTCGAAGAATTGCGCAGCATAGTACGGAACATGGATTGGTGGTGGTTATGATTGGATGTTTTTGAAATCACTACCAAGTAGCGTTAGCCAACTATGAGTGGAGGACACTTAGATTTTCTCATTTTCGTCGGTAGCAGTCTGTAGGTGAGATTTTAGAAGGTGAGAGAGAGGTATGAAACCGTAATGCCATTAGTCTTCTTTCACTGGATCTTAAAAGCCTCTAGTGAAGGACTGGAAAGGGGATGATACTGGGTCATCAGGGCAATCTCGCAGAGTTTGATCTTGAAATGAGCGTGGAAACGTCACCACACTCCTTAAGAGTTTGATCTCCTTGTTCTTGTCGACTCTTAGCTCATTTTGGGCTCTCCGTAAAACTTAACTGAAGTATTTAGAACGCCCACTTCGGATGGATTCCCATCAATTTAGGAGTTGCAGACACTTCGAGCACATCGCGAGATTTTCCGTTGAACTTCGGAAAGCACTCGGTAAATAATAGTTCAAGCCTCTAATGTGAGGTTAGGTTAGACATTGTAACCTGAGCTGACCTTGGATATACAGACAGGTGTAGAAGCTGCCTTGGTTATTGCGAGGCTCGACGTCTTTCCTGCGCAACATGGATCGCACTGCCTACGACATATATAGGATGGATATGCTAGTGCTTCACAACTTTGAGGGCAAAGAATGACGACTTCTTCAATTACGCAAGTTGAGACTCGAGATCTTTCTTGCGCAAGAAGGATCGCATTGTCAAGGACCTTTAGTGTGGACATACTAGTGGTTTCAACTCTGAAGTCAAAGAATCAAGACTTTTGTAATACCCAAGTTGACCTCGTCCAAAGTTCGAATTTCATTCCCTTATCCAGAGTGTTTTCCATCTCTTATCTTGCTATCAATACCCTATTGCCATAATCAGCAGTGGTGAAGGAACGACTAAAGAGATATTGGCTTCAAAACAATTCACCTTGATTTTCAGGTGGGCTTTTCCTTTTCATAGATTCTACAGCCTTTCAATTTCTTGGAAAGTATTTCAAAGAACAGGTGAAAACCCTGCTTAGAGCTTCTTGAGTTCCTTAGTGTCAAACTCTGTATTCCCAACTTCTGCTAATGTAGATGACAATTAGTTTGCCGCGTCAATTTCATTTTAGGCTTTTTTGTCATTGAACTCCAATATGTTGTTATATCGTTGCATAGGATGATAGACCGTAGTTCAGATACTCAGTCTGAGTTTGTCACTTTTTGGTCGACGTTGAGTTTGGGGCTAGGAAGTGTTTGTACTGAGGGGTATTTTGTGTAAGTCAGATGAGCCACTTACAAATTCAAGACAGGTTTGGATATGTCGTGCACATGTCGAGTTGGAAAATGTCATTCCCATATAAGTGTAAACCTACTTAATGTGTTTGACGGAGGTAATATGTGATTCTTCCATCTGTATTCGTCACTGGAGTATCTCAGATCTATGTGAACACTGTTGATTTCTGCGTGGGAGAGATATGAGGAATCTCCTGGAGCGATGTTCGTATTTTCGTCACCAATACGGCTAAAAGAAACTGGGTTATCTCACTAGAAAAGATTGTGCTCTAGAGCTTTTTCAATCAAAAGCATCACAGTGGAAACATTAAGATCTGCTTGGCCCTCAGTTTCATTTGTGCGTTCAGTATATGTTGCTGCATTTTGATATCTTCAAGGTAGGGAATTTCTTATTACTTTGTACTAAATTGGATTTAGCCTTGCCCGGAAATGAAAAAAACCCGAAGACCCGGAGTGAAGATGGCAAATTTATACAAGCAATTTTTTAACTTTTCAATGCTATTGCTAACGCCATTCTGCGTTGTGCTTCGTGATACAGGCATGTAATATGGTGGACTATGATGAAATCGTACCCGATGGATTTTATGATGTGAACGGAGTCCTCAGTGAGTCACATCTGTCAGAGAGGATGCCGTCCCTGAAAGACCTGACGAGGATGCCCATCTCAGAGACCTCCAAAATAGAGGCAGTTCTTGTGAACAGAGAGTTAGATCCCGACCTTGTAAGTCTGGAAGAACGGGTCTCAAATCTTTCTGCCAATCATGAATCTGGAGAGGCCGGCTTACCAAAAACTGAGTTAGCTCAAAAAATTGCTCTTATAGTGGTGGAGCAGATGGGCGGGCCAGTTGGTAGTGACACCGAGATGCTAACTCGCTGGAGAAAAGCAAGCTGGGACGTGAAAAATAGCATGCAAAATGTTGTGCTTACTCTCGGATGCCTATCTATTGGATTGACGAGACATCGCGCATTACTATTTAAGGTGACCACTCTTTTTTTGGTGTGGGAACGGCAGTTCCTACTCGAATTACACTTGACATCATATTCTAATGTATGAATTTAAGCTGGACTGAATTCATCTATTTCTACGCCTGATGTTTGTGGATCTTATAGACGAGTTGAAGTAGTCTATTGATACTATACGGTATGTCTTATTCTCATATTGTACAATCTAATACCCGTTAGAATGTACAGTATGAAATTAAGACTGGGATGGGACTTTAGCTGTCGGGAGTATTTGTAGGTGTTGGATCGTATCCTTCTTCATGTATGGTACATGTAGGGACTATGGTCACCTTAAGATAATTACTGGTTGTCCTCATGAATTGTTGATATAATCAGAAGACTCCCGCATGAATTGCACAGACAAATTACATGGCTTGTCTTTTACTCGTTAGAAGGGTAGCTCATCTTGGTAAAGGAGAGTGCATTCATCGTACGTAGAAATAGCCATTTCTTTTCTTCAAGACGTGCTCAACCTCGAACGATCAATTTCCTGCATTTTCAAGGGTTGCTTTTGCGAGTTAGTCGTTGCAGTTTAGAAGACGTGGGCAAGGTGTACCGCATAGGTCATATGAGGTCATGTTTCCGTACTGCAGGTCTTAGCAGATCGTGTTCGACTTCCCTGTCAGCTGGTCAAGGGTCGACATTATCCGGGGGTCGAAGAGGAGGGTGCAGTTAACATCGTACGGGTGGATGATAATAGGTGTGTTACGTTGCCTCTATATGTTCTGAATCTTTGTGTATCTTCGGTTCTGTTTGCCTTTTAGGCCTCTTGTAGGAAGTGAACTTTCTGAAATGTGTATGAGGTCCGGACTTCATAGACGTACAGAAAGTGAGCCCTCTGTTATCTTAGTATTCCAGTGTGTTGTTCGAACCTTTTTTGACCAAACTGGAATATAGCCATCGTAACTTTATACTTTGTCAGATGTCTGATCAAAGTTTAAAGAATCATGATCTGTGTACCATTTGTATGAATGGGAAATCAAGCTCTGCAATGATACATAGAAGTTATAAATTGACACTTATAACCTGTGGCTCCTTTACCAGGTCCGGGGCTCTCTTTGGATCCCCTGGTTCACTTCATTGTCATAGATACTTCGTTTTCTCGTTCGTCTGATGCCCCGATTGATGGAACTGTAGTTCTCGCTGTCCTTGTGGTTGAAGAGCCCCATGGCTTTAAGAAGCTTTTATGCTCTTAATTTTGGAGAGGATGAATCTGTTGAAGTACCCAAGTTTGGATCTCTCTCTGTCTTTCATCGTTCTGTACCCGGCAGACACATGAGTCTGAGAAGTAAGTTCCCTTTTGTTCACCGTTACAACTTTTATCGAACGGTTTCACAGTGAACGGTTGGCATCAACAGTCGAAGCGCAAACGTCTTCTCTGTTTTCTGGATATTCTGTCCATTTTCATCTACATTTGTTAGTTCGTCATTCACGTACTTGTATGAGCTCAGCTCATTTTCGTTCTTGTACCCTCGCCGATGCACGGAGACAGTTGAAGACAACGTCTCTAATATGGCTCCATATGTCGTGGTTACTGCCATCGGTTTTTTCTTAGGATTGTTTTTCTCAGTCACTCTCTAGATATAGCTGTATCTTACACTGTCGAATGAGTTTTATATCGTTTGAGAGCTATTGTATGGGGCATGAGGCCTTCAGTTTCTTGTGAATAGCTCTCAATGATCCTGTACAGCGAGTAGCAATAAACAGAATCGCTTGTTGTAACCTGGTTCAACTTTTGCAGGTTCCCATGTTATCTGTTGCTGTTAGTCCAGTTTCATATAGAACTTGTACTTATCTGCATACACGTTCTGATGAAGTTTAATTTTCGCAGAGAGTACATTATTGATCTCATGGGGGCTCCCGGAGCTCTAATCCCACCCGACAAGCCACAGATTGCTCAAACTGGAAATACATCAGAGCTGGGTTCGTCCACAGACGTCAGTCCGAAAAGTGCTAAGACAGAGCAATCATACGCTTCTATTGGGGGCAGTTCTTGTGGTTCACCTTCTGGTTCTATGCACTCCACGCGTTCTACACCAGAGTCCAGAGATGTTAATAAAGATAAGGAAATGAATTACAAGAAAGGAACAGGTGAGACGCAGGAGTCGAAATCGAATAACGTGAAACTCGATGGTCGACATCACAGTGAACCTGGAGAGCTTGCTGGGCTCTCTGCTAGGCCCAGTCGTCTTCACGCACGATCACCTTCATGGACTGAAGGTATGCTGGACAAAAGACAGATGGCTGGTGGACGGCCTCTGAAAGATGTGTCACAAATTATGTTGGGCGTTGCCAAGGAACATCCTCAACTGGCTCAGAAGTTGCATGATGTCTTGTTAGAGAGTGGTGTTGCCCCGCCTCCTGATCTGCTTGCGGAGATTTCGCCGAAACAACTTCAAGCCTCGGTCATGGAGGAGAAGAAGGTTGTTATGGAATCCCAGCTCGCCCTTCCGGCGCTTCCTGTTAAAAAGAAAGGTCCAGCTGTGCGGGGACGGCCGCCTGCTGGTGTTCATAAGTCAAGTCAGCAAGTTGTTGATGAAGGTTCAAATTCAAAAGATCGGCTACAGAGGTTGAACTCGGTCGAGGGATTGGGGGAAAGACGACCTCTTGGAGGCTCGCAGACTAATCTGCCATCTACTCCCGCGATTGTGCCTCTGGTAGTTATTCCACCTGTTGCGCAGGAGGGTTATCTTCAACAAGATATGATGCGCCATGTTCCCGTAGCTGCAGCTGCAGCCGCCACTGCAGCAGTCGTTGCGACGACAATGGTTGCTGCAGCTGGGAAAGTTGATGGTTCCGATGGCAATCTCGAGGTCCCAATGGCGGCTGCTGCCACTGCTACAGCAGCTGTAGTTGCGGCAACATCAGCTGCTGCTGGGCGGAGAGTGGATAGTAATGAAGCGTCCCCGCACAACTCTAACGAAAGGGAAAGGGAAAGGGAAAGGGAAAGGGAAAAGGAAAAGGACGGCAGCGGAAGGAGACGGACACATTTTGATGATTCTGAGAGGGTAGAGAGAGCGGAGAGAGGGAGCGGTGGTGGTAGACGCAGACATTCAGGGGATAAGAGATCTGACGAAACAGATGCAAGCTCTCCTGGAAATAGTGATGGTAGAGGAGGTAGTGATGGAAAAGCAAACAGCAGTTTTGGTGATGGATTGGATGGCGAAGTGAGTGTCGAAGAAGAGAGAAATGCAGATGGTTTGAGTGGACCTCAACAAAAAAGGATTGACTCGGTATTGAAGGATGTTGCAGAGTGGGAGATTCCGTGGGAGGACATCATCATTGGAGAACGCATCGGGTTAGGTGTGCAATCCCTAATTTCGCTTGTGATGTCGATTTTGTCCGTATGTCGGTTTGAAGTCTTTTTAGATGTGTATATGAATTCCTATGCTCTTGTAAAATAAATTGAGTGCCAATGTGTAGTGCAGATGCACGGATATCTCATATTGCTAATATTACTTCACACGGAATAATTTCGGATCTCTTCATGTACTCCTCCCTCGTTATGAGAAGTTGAATGGGAAGTTAGAACTGGAGTAAATCGTCGACTTTGCAAAAGCTGGGATGGAACATTTGAAATTTTTGAAATGTGCCTCTTGACAAGAATTAATATCCTTGCGACTTGCTAATATTTTTCATGATGGGTTTGACGCAAGTTTTTTACAAAAATTCATTTTCGAAGAAATTGCAGTTTTGAGGTATATTATCTTTGTTATGTGTATAAATTTTGCCGCCAAATATGTTTCTTGTCAGTTATTAAACTTTGTCCCCGTGGTGAAGTCTAATGAGTTCCAACAAGGTTCTCCGTTTTGCATTCAAACCACTTGGAAATAGTGGGAAATAAAGAAATGCATCGTGAAGAATGAAATCCTTTCAAGGCTCTTTGCCAGTTAGTTTATTCTAGGCCAATTTCTCTCTTCGTCTGGAGTATGTGATACTCTATGATGTCGTAGAAGAGATGTCAATCGGAATTTGGCCATATTTCCATCATTTTGTATGCCACATGCAACTTCCAATGTAGGCCATACCGCGAATATGGTATATTTTCTAGCTGTTTACACAAGTAAGCGATTATCTTCACCACGCGATTACCCTTTGAGAGAAAACGCAGAGAAAAATTTGTAATTCGCATCATGGAGGTTCTTACCTTGCGATCTCGGTAAGTGAGGAGCTAACTGTAGCCCTCTTGAGTTTAATTATCGCTCTGTTCTTTGATTCCTTCATTTATTTCTACTTACAGCCTATCGGCGTACCTATCGGTACAAGTTGTGGAGTGTTTTACCTTTAGAAATTTGTCTTCTAACTTTGAGAATTGGACTTGATCGAATTGATTTTCTTCTTCCAAAATCTCACTGTCTCCCTAAGCGCGTGCTGTATACTAGATGTTACGTATAAGACATTCAACCTGTTCGTTTCGGACATCCCAAAAATTGGATGACGTATTCATCCCTCACAACGTTGCGAACTCAACAGGACTTTCAACGGCCGTCGTTTGTAACTTCATGGACATGGGGATTTTCAAGACGGCTGCAAACTTTCTATGACCGTTTAGAGCCTCACTGCAGATAACCTTTCCTCGCTTTATCTGTGGAATTTCTTTTACGTCCAAGCGTTCAAGTCACAGTCGCTACACCTGACACGAATTTGGGAAACTCGGACTCGCCACGTTCGGACTCTTGGCACGATCATTCTCAGTCATTGAATGCAGTACCTCCATAAATACTACGTGTAGTATTTCGTGTTCTGCGTTCCGTAGCATACGTACGACGTTTAGTCTCTTACATCCAGCACTGCGCAATGACCGAAGTACGGTTTTTGACGTTCAACAAACGGGGTAATTTATCTTAACTAGGGTTCTTAAGTCTCAGGTGGTGCTAATGTCTTGTTTTTTTGTGTACGAATTCCTTGCCCCTATCATGTCATGTCTTCATCCGTTATCAATCTTTACCACTTAAATAGCGAGAACTTCATAAGGTTGATGCCTAAATTCGCAGGCCCTGCGCTGCCCATGCCTGTCTTCTTTCCCTGTATGGAATCCTTGCCATTATCCTTCATCAGTAACTCCCAGTCAATTAGCGGGGAGCTTTATCATATGGTCGTTGTCTAAGTCTGGTGGCGAGTTTTTTGGTTTTGCTTTGTTTTGGGTCATGTATGGACTTCTTGCCCTCATCTTTTATCAATCTCCCTTGTTCAAATAGCGGAAACTTTTATCGTTAGGTCGGTGTCTGAATAACACAGCCTGCTTTTGCTTCCATCTTTATATTCCTAAAGCAGTCCTCGCTCTCCGTGTCTCATCCATCTCTTCCTGTCAATTAATGGGGAGCTTTATCATAAGTTGGGTGTCTCAAGTCTGAAGCCGTGTGTTGCTTATGCCTTTTCTTCTTCCTCTATGGACTCCTTGCTCTTATTCTTTATCAGTCTCTCCAAGTCAATGAGCGATGAGCTTTATCACTTGCTCGCTATCTAAGTCTAATTCCAAGTCACTTCTACCTTTTTTTTTTCCCTGTCCGGACTTCTTTTTTTCATCCTTTATCAATCTTTCAAATAACGTGAACTTAATCATTAGGTTGGTGAGTGAATATGAGGGCCTGTTTCTGCTTCCATCTCTCTTCTCCTAGATGGACTCCTTGCCCTCATGTGCCCATCCATCTCTCCTTGTCAAATAACGGGGAGCTTTATTATAAGTTGGGTGTCATAAGTTTCAGTCCTCTGCTGCTGATGCCTTCACCCCTTCTTCCCTGTACGGACTCCTTGCCTCCATCCTTATCAATCTCTCCAGGTCATCTAGCGGTGATCTTTATCATATGCTCGTGGTCTAAGAATGAGGACCTGTGTTTGGCTCCTACCTTTGTTTTTTGCCTGTATGGACCTCCTGCTCTCATACTTTATCAATATCTCCTATCTTAAGGAGGGTAACTTCTCAAAAGGTAGGTGTAAAAATATGGGGGCTTGTTTTTGCTGCCATCTCTAATTTCCTAGATGGACTCCTTGCCCTCATTTCTCATCCATCGCTCCTTGTCAAATACCGGGAAGCTTTATCACAAGTTGTATGTCTCAAGTCTCACGCCCTGTGCTGCTTACGCCTTTATTTGTTTCTCCCTGTACGGATTTTCCTCCCTTATCCTTTGCCTGTTTCTCCAGGTCATCAAGTGGGGAGCTCTATCATATGCTCGTTGTTTAAGTCTGAGGTCTGTTTTTTGCATCTACATTTTACTTTGTTCTGTCTGGAATTTTTACCCTCATCCTTCATTAATTACTTCTGTTGAAGTAATGGGAACTCTATTTTAAGATTTTTCCTTCATTATGTCTAAATAGGTGTCTCTGTTTTTGCTTCCATCTTTATTATCCTAGATAAACTCCTTGCCCTCAGTTCCCAGTTATCTTTTCTTATCAAATAGCGAGCAGCTTTATCATAAGTTGGGTGTGAAATGTTGCTGCGGCTTTATTAGGTGTTGTATGGACTTCTTGCCATCATCCTTTATCAATTTTTCTCTTAGGAAATCGGGAAATGTATCAGAAGGTTGGTGTCTAAGGAGGAGGCTTTGACTTGGCTTTTATCTATGTCCTCCTAGATGCAGTTCTGCCCTCATTTCTCATCTATCTCTCTTTGTCAAATAACGGGAATTTTTATTGTAAGTTTGGTGTCTCAAGGATGCAGCTCCTGTTGCTTATGCCTTATTTTTTTTGGTTGTTTGTACGGACTCCTCGCCCTTATCCTTTATCAGTTGCTCCAGGTCAATAAGCGGGGTTTTTTTGATATGTTCGTTGTATAAGAGTGAGGCCCTGTTTGTTGCTCCTACCTGTCTCAATACAATGTCTCGTATTTTTTGTCCTGCGTTCTTTGACAAAAATACGACGTGTATTCTTCGACATCCAGCGCTGGGCATGGACCGAAGCACGGTTGCTAATGTAGAATGAGCTTTTTCTTAAGTAGGGGGTTTTAGGCTGTGTGGTGCTTAGGCCTTGTCTTTTTCGTGTACGAACTCCTCGCCCTTATCCCTTATCAGTCTCTCGAGGTTTATAAGCGGGGAGCTAAGTGTGAGCCCTGTTTTTGGTTGCAATGTTTTTTTGCCCTGTACGGTCTTGCCCTCATCCATATCAATCTTTACGGTTGAAAGAACGTGAAATAATCATGAGGTCGGTGTCTAAATCGGACGGCCTATTTTTCCTTTCATCTTTATTCTCCTAGACGGACTCCTTGTCCTTTTCCTCATCAACCTCTCCTCTTCAAATAACGGGGTTTTCTCTTACAATTTGGGTGTCTTAAGTCTCAGGCCCTGTGGTGCAAATGCCGTTTTCCTTTCCCGGTACGGACACCTTGCCCTCATCCTTTATCAGTCTCTTCAGGTCATTTAGCGGGGAGTGCTAGTATATGCTTGTGGTCTAAGTTTGAGGCCCTGTTTTTGCTTCTGCCTTTTCTTTCGGTCCTCTATGGAGTGGCCCTCATCCTTTATAAATCTCTTTTCTGGAAATAGCGGAAACTTATGACAATGTAAGTGAATGTCTTCCTGTTGTTGATTACCTTGTTTTTTCCTCCTAGATGTACTCCTCGCCGTCAGTTCTCACCAGTCCCTCCTCGTCAACTAAGGGGAGCTATATCATAAGTTGGGTGTCAGTTGGAACAAGGTGACGGCGTGAGGTAAATAGTCCTGCGGTTACTGACCTGGTCAGAAAGATAGAGAAAAGAGTTAGTGTATGGTGGCTGAAATTATAAGGAACTGTACGTCAACACTATTGTGTGGATTACGTGTAAAAATAATCTTGAACATAAGATGACGGATATCACGTAGATCACCGATACTGCTTTCAGGAATGACTCGTTACAGTTGAAGCCCTGTATGAAGGCTTATATTGATACATAGTTCTGGCTAAAAAAGGGGAGGGAGGCAGAGACGTTTGTTGATTTTGAGTTGGATTGGAAGATGGCTAGAATTCACTTCCTTCAGATATGAAGGAGTAGTGCAGAACTTGCCATCGAGAGGGTTTTCTACAAGGCTTTGGATTTAAAATATCATAGCTCTGTGACATAGATTCATGTCAAAGCCATACGAAACCAATATAAGTAATTTGGGAGAGTACCACCAACATGAAGAGTAGTCAGATCTGTTTTTGTGTTTTATATCCTATACTGACTTCCTCGGAATGGGACTAACATTATGAAAGTGAGATATGATAAAGGTGTGGGATACATGCCTTGGTTGAGAATTTCAAAATTATTATTAGAGCACAAAACCATCGTTTTCATATTTCATGAAGATTTTCTCATCGTAAGCCCATGTGGTCGCTATTTTCTATGTTATCTATGTAACTTTCATAAAGTTTCAAGGATGCTACCATGAATTCAAGATAAGCTAGGATGTGATATACTGGTTATGGCGGTTCCAAGTGAAACCTAGCGAATGAGGTTTTATGACGAGTGAAAAGTTATGTAATCATGCCAAGTGATGCCAAGTTTCTGGTTTGAACTGAGAAATCAAGACTCTTGTTTTTGTATAGTAGAGCGTTGAATAGAACAGATACCATTGTTCAGGTCGGTGAAATTATAGTGGTTTGGTGTTTAGCGGCCGGCCAGAGTTCTAGACATCAAGAGTATCCACCCATGCTACTTCATTGACACTTCAACAAGTAGACTTCTATAAGAAAAATAAGTAAAGAAGGTGCATCGGGTCTCCCATATGATACATTTTATATTTGAAATTAGATGAAGTAATGCAAGAGAAGGTTAAAAGTAAGAGAAATTATATTTAAATCTTGCAAAAGTTTCAGCAAGTTGGGTTTGCTTGTGAGGGTACCCATGCATGACACTTTAATTTAGGCCCAAATCACACCCTTACTTCTTTCTTTTTGTCCTGTTTCCCTTCAGGATCATATGGTGAGGTGTACCGAGGAGATTGGCATGGATCTGTAAGTTACTGCCCTTTTAATAGAAAGTAAAATGCTCATTGCATCCACTTTGTTTAGAATCCAAGTTTGATGTTTCTGAAGGTAATCTCTGGATTTTTTTCTGAAATTGTTCTGCTCTTTCTGTTCTCTGGAGAAAGTTGAGATGGTTTTGTGACACGGTCACTTTTGTAAAGAGTTGTTGTTCAGTATCGTAAAAATTAACGTTCCGAATGCTGGTCCCAGGAAGTTGCTGTGAAAAAGTTTCTTGATCAAGATTTGTCAGGGGACGCTTTGGAGGAGTTCAGACTTGAGGTTTAAACGTTTACTTTTCTGTCGATAAGATTTTTCTTTCTTCAGAATTTGTACATTTTTCTTCTGTTACCCCTGTTTACCGGTTTCTGCTTTCATGAAGACTTATCTGACTTCTTTTGGTTCACTGTAGGTCCGGATTATGCGCAGATTGCGCCATCCCAATGTAGTTCTCTTTATGGGTGCTGTCACCCGCCCCCCTCATCTGTCGATTGTCACAGAATTTCTTCCAAGGTGGGCTCCTTTAAGTGTACCAGTGTAGTACATGGTTATGATCGATATGTTAACAATGTATTTGCAAGAATGGTAATTTGCATAGAGTTTTGATAGTTATTTGATGTCCTAATGTCAAGTCTCGAAATTTCATGGATCTCCTTGCAGAGGAAGTTTGTATAGGCTTATTCATCGCCCTAATAATCAACTGGACGAGAGAAGACGGTTACGTATGGCACTTGATGTGGTAAGAACGCTAGTGGTCTCCGGAGGTTTGAAATATACGACTTGGATCGTACATAGGACTGAAGGAAGCCGTTTATCTGCTTCGAAGTTGGTTTTGTTGCTAGTTCAGGAAGTTTGAAAGCTTAAGGTGGAATTTTGTTGTTCATACTCGCTGTTAACAGGGAGTGTTTCAGTTAACAAACATACGGTTGTGTGGTGGTTTTGACAGGCAAAGGGCATGAACTACTTGCACAGCAGCTCCCCTCTCATTGTACATCGAGATCTCAAGTCTCCTAACCTTCTAGTTGATAAGAATTGGGTCGTTAAGGTGCGCTCAATAATCTCACCTTTCAATTGCTTTTCTTTTCAGTCTAATTACAGACTCGGTCATAACTCTAGATGCAATGAAACCTTGAGTTGCGCAGTCGGGCACCTGAGCCTCATTCATGTGGGATGTGTAGTCACAACTGCTATCATGCGGTGTACTAAAAAAATCACGGAATGTCATGCCTTTTTGTCTGGATAATTCGCTATTGTTTTGACTCTTTCAGCAGAAGAGTTTCTGTGTTTCTATATCTATCTGGTTTAATTATGTGTTTCTGTGTGTCTATTAGGCTCACAGAAGATGTATTGCATGGATGTGCCCGTTCTTACTTGCCTGGATCTCTTGTGTGATTTTCAGGTTTGTGATTTTGGACTATCACGAATGAAGCACAACACATTTTTATCCTCGAAGTCAACTGCAGGGACTGTAAGTACCATATGTATATAGTCCATTGAATTTCAGTGATGCAAAGACGAACTTGACTTTTTTCGATTTCTGTTCACGTGCAGTTAGAAATGTAGGCTTATATATACTCCTAACTTACAATTAAGTTCGTTTTGGGCAACTTCTTCATAACTATAGAGTGTCGATGCTTTGGGTTGCGCTTGAGTAGGTGTCCCTACGGTTGTATCTCTGGGTCTGTGGTCTTCGGTCCCCTTGCGTGTTAAGCGCTTAAGGTTTATTACGATCATTTGTATCTCACAAGCTCTTTCTTGTGCGCAGCCTGAGTGGATGGCACCTGAAATGCTTCGAAACGAGCCATCCAACGAAAAGTAAGTAAGAAGGGAAGAAATTCATGAAGTTTGAAAGGACCGTATGTTAAATGTAATTCTACATATGGCATATTCTGGACAGCCTACTTGCATATACAGTGCATTCCGTGTTGATCCGTTGTTTATGCACTTGACAAAGGTGATTTGCTGTTACCAAGGATGCTGTTGGTAGAACCCCCTGATCTCAGTATTTGATTTGCTTTTTGTTATTGGCAGATGTGATGTGTACAGCTTTGGTGTTATTTTGTGGGAATTGGCAACTCTACGGCAACCCTGGGCAGGGATGAACCCCATGCAGGTGGTAGGGGCTGTCGGCTTTCAACATAGGCGTCTTGACATTCCTCCCGATATGGACCCCCAACTCGCAGGCATCATCCGTGAATGTTGGCAAAAGTAAGTCAGAACTCGATTTATGTTCATCTGATGGTCCGCATAGTTTTCCTGTATTCTGATACTGATGTGTCTACTAAGTCAAAAGTCCATGGCTATGTAAATAATGTTGAACAGGCGGTGGGTCTCAAATTCTGGCACTTATTTGGTACTTTCTTTACGCAGTGATCCAAATATGAGACCGTCTTTTGCGCAACTTATGGCAGCACTTAGACCTCTGCAAAGACCTCTGCCAGCTGCAACACTGGCGGCACAACAAGAAAATCAAAGACAAGTGCAAGCGCAAAACGCAACGATACAACCAGCGCAACAACCACAAGTAACCCCACAACAGCAGCAGTCCGAATCGCAGCAGCCCAAAGCATCGTAACGAAGAATCTAGATTGTCTAAGATTGCATCTAGAAATACTGAGCCGAACAGGGCTTTTGTCAAAACTGCACTTTGCCCCTTCATGGAATGTTGATGGAGTTGTGCTATGTTGACATGTACATGTCAATGTGATTTGCTTCTGGAGTAAGTAATTGTATTTACGGAAGGCGTGACATCAGTCACTTCTTCAGTGGGGTTTCGGATTTTATTAGTGCAGTTAAAACGCGACTGCTACGAAGGATGAGACAAGAAAATGCAATGGGCAGCAGCAGTCTTGTGTGGCACAAACAGAAGCACACTTTCATCTACATTTTGAAAGTTTTGCAACTGCCTGTAGCTAGCTTGAGTGGGTACTTCACTCCATCACTTAGAGAATGCTCAGTCAGTATCGCAGCACTCGGGCATGCCATGAGATGCTTTTTAAGAGTTTTTTGAATCCTGTAAGGTGGTCCTAATCTGTAATAAAAATATATTTGTTCTTGGGTTTTCTACAGGGACCGTTATATTTAATCTAAGACATGGACTCTCCTTGTCTCACTTACGTCTGAGTACGAGCAGAAGCCTATATTAAAATGATTGCCTACTCTAATTCCGCTTTCCTTGGTCCTTCAGTTCAATGGTCTGATCATGTACGAGTGTTGCGGAATGCGGAAATCAACTTTGGATGCACGTGTGGTAACTTGAACCAGTTCCCTGACTTTAACGTCTACACAAGTCAGAGAAATGTAAGTAAGATTCTTTCCATTCTGTTCTGTATTTTCTTGCTGCCTTTCGTTCCCAGAGTAGTGGATTAAGTAGCCACTTCAGGTACGCTTACGTCTTGTGAATGTTTCTGAAGTTTTTCTAGACGATGTATGCAGTAATTTAATATTTCGTCTGCCTGTTCACCTGCTGTTAGTTTTCCTGTTTCAAGAGAAAAATACAGGAGTTGATCACGTAAAGATTACAGTTTCTATAATTTGAGAATTTCAGGTTTCTGTTAACACGTGTAGCTAATTCCGTTGTATATAGGAATTATTCTATTTGTTTATTTGCTAGTTATTTCGTGTATAATCGACGTCAATTGAGTGAACTTTGCCGTACCTGGCTCGAAAGATTTCGGCAGATTCTCTGTACTATGAAACTTAGTGTTCTTGATGGGTTCGAATTTTGCATACATTTCGCTCAATGAGGGCTTGTTCGTTTTGTAACCGTATTTATCTTCCACTGAGTAAAACCTCATGCTTGTAACACTTGGTTCTTTCGTGATGGTGTAACATCTTTTGAGTCTCCTGAATGAATAGTTGCCCAACGTTGTCTCGGGATAAGCACACAGTGGCCAGTTGAGTTTGAATTTTGAAGTGGGGATGGAAGCGAATTTTGAGCTCGATTGCACGCAATCTCGCAGAAGGAGATTGTTCGCAACGAAGACATATCCTATGTTGCGTCGTACAGGAAGTTTACCATCACGGTTGAGTGTCAAGGCTTTGGGTGATGATGTTGTTTGGTTACTACAAAAAAATATCATATTTTAATTTAATATGCACTGACAAAGTGGGTGAAGAATCACAACTTTTGTTGTACTGAGAAGATCTGAGCCTAACGTTACTGTGATCAAGATCGCTATGAACTATGAGAACTTCAGTGTTTTCACTATTTTCTAATTATACAGTGTTGATGTCCACATTTTATCCATGAGTGCTTTTTACTTGAAGTCACAGTAACATTGAAGTGACTGAAGTCAAACGTAGATAAGGAAATTTTATTACTTACCATCAGTGTCATCTACAAAGTACTAGTATAGTATTAGCTACATATATACAGATACATACAGATCAGAGTGAGACACGATTTAAATAGTTTGAACCTGAGATTCTTCCCTGATCTCAAGGGTCGTCATTAGGACTAAACGACCCAAATTGTAGGCTAAGAATTCTTTCAATGAATAGACCCCAACTCACACGGAAGTGCTTTAGCTTGTCACCCTAAGCTACATAGAGCATATTTTCATGATGAAGGTTGTAGGGCCAGTCCTTTTTTTATTCAGCGGCAGAACATGCCCCCATAACGGAATGATTTATCATTTCCCTACACGGTCAGCATCCGATAAGTATGAGAATGGTAACTTGTAGTAAAATAGTTGTTATTTTTCGTACCAGTCAGCTTTTAAGAAAATCTTCCTTTTTGTCAACAAAATAACTTCGGGTAAGAAGATGGTCATGTGGATTCGATTAGTACATGTATGATGAACATTGATTTTCACTTGTAGGACTGAAAAGTGAGTATGGCTTACGTGGTCAACGATGCATGCCACAGACAAGATGCACTGTAATGTCAAGAAATGAGCTGTACGATGTACATGAGAATTTCCGTGTAAATAGCAAAAGGTGGGCTTTAGCCATATTTTGATGATTTTAAGCATTGTTCATGTTAAATCAGTTCTAGATCGAAGCGTACAAATTACATTAACATGCTGATTGTGTATGAGTGCATGAGATTAATGAGACGTGGAAAAATGTGTAAAGCAATCATTCAAGATAAATTATAGAGACATTTCTGCTCGCATTGTGCATATCAAAGGGAGACATTTTGCGAGTAATTTAAATATTCTTTTCCATGTCAACATGTACGCTCGTATGGAATAACTAAGATAACAACGTTGAAGGCGTAAGGCAGTGGAATCAATGTAACAAACGAATAGGGTACGAAAGAAATCTATACCAATCAGTTGATCAGGGAGAGTCCAAACTGCCTTTGGAAGCAAAATAGCTGAATGCCATTGCTACTTAACTGCAGATGTCTTCTGTTCTAGAGATTATGGCAATTTCAATCCTTATGGAGCAGAGCAAACAGGTCTGAAATGTGTACCAACAGGACACTTCTATGCTGATGATATCATCAAAATAGTTTGATTAATATATTGGATAGCGCAAGCATACAATTCTCACGTCAATATCGTGAGCAATTAACCTCAATCATAGTTCCACTAGAGCCTTTAGTTGAAGAATGCACAAGCAGATGAACTTAATCTAGAGAAGCCTGTAGAAGAGCAACTAAATGTGAATCTCTATTAACAAAGTTAGTAGAGATATTCTGTTTATTCTGTTTAGGTGTTGTTAGAACAACGTATGTTAACTCAGGTCTTGACTTCACTCGGGTTAGATTAACCTCAATTAGTTATTTCAGTTAGAATGTTATAATATATATATAAAAAAGAGAGGTCACGAAAGCTCTCGGTGGTATTTTTTAGAGTTTTTTCAATCTATAATCTGTTTTGTTTTGGTGGAGTGTCTACGTTTGCGTTCTCCTCACGACTTGGTGGATTGTGCGTTGGAGTTCATGTTTGTTACTATTAACTCAGGTGTGTTTCAACTCAAATAGCTAAATTCAAGTTAGGGTTTAATTTTTGATGTACACTATAATGGAGATCTAGCCAAAACTCTCGTCGAACACTCTAGGATTTTTTTCTGTCGTGCAAATAGCACGTCACAACAAATTTCAGTTGGGCATAGCGGTGTATGAAAGTGTATGCGTGTAAGCTTGTGCTGGTACTTTTGTGAAAATCTTGCAATAACTGGTACTAGAATGTTGAGTTGCTCGCCAAGTTATTGAATTCCAATTGCTAGTGCTTCAATTTTGATTTCGTGTTTTCGTCTAAGTCTGGTGGTCTTCCCGCCGGGAGTGTTGTGTTCTCGTCATAGCCTGCTGGTTTTTCCTCCGGGAGTGGTGAGTGAGTTATTGTTACAAGTTCAATTCTGCATTTGTTTGGATGGAGTTAGTGCAAGACAGAAGGGAAGCTCGGGCGGGAGGAAGAAGAGTGTTTGAAGAGAGGTGCTGGATGACGGTGGGAAACAAGTATTGCTATCTAGCCGAGGCAGAGTGAAGACGTAGAGAGTGGGGGCAAGAGGAAGGAATGATGAAAAAGAGAGTGAGCGAGGAAGAATTTTGTTGATAGAGTCGTGTTAGACTTCTACTTGGTGAAATGTATGTTGGCAAAAGCTTCGTAGCAGGTATTGGTTTCAAGCTTGTTCTCAATTACGGAATTAGGGCTTTTTTTGCTAATGAATCGTATTGAGCGTTAATTTGACATGTTTTTTTATCAAAGCATTTTAAGTATATAGAAGAAAATATTACTTGACGTACTTGTGTAAAATGCGTTTTATCTTCTTGTAATTCTAAATCCACATTAAATTAGTGTGTTGACCAAAGTTGTTTTAGGAGACTTAAAGTACGTTTCATCTTGTTGCTAATCAAATGATGGACGGTAGAGTGAAACATATCCATCAAGTATAAAAAAAAATGTAATTTTTGATAAAAAAATTTAGTTGGGAGTGATGCGAAATTCACATTTAATTAGTGTGTTGAACAAAGATTTTTTTAGGAAAGTTTTAGTTGACTTTGTGTTATTATGCAAATTTTCTTAAGGAGCACAAGTAGAGTTTACTAGCCGTTTCAGTGTGTTATATATATATATATATATTATTCTATAATGTTTTGATTACAACTTAGTCTAATTAGCTCTAGTCTAAAAACGAGTCTTTATAAATTTTTTTCCTAATATCACATGCAAATTCATTTTATAGATTTTGAAGTATAATTGTCTACTCCACATGAATTAAGTGTGAGAATCTTAGGTTGTAATTCACGTAGATTGTCAATTAGGATGGCTGTGATTTAGAATTTTTTTTGTAATTGCTATTTTATTTCTCTATACATGTCAAGGTGCAAAATTCTTGTATCAAGGTTTTGAGCATGTTGTATCTCTACTGCAGTCATTGAATTTAGACACATTTTAATCCACTTTGTATGGTATGATTAACACAACTTTTCATAAAATGGTTGGAGGGTGTGAAATTTTTATTACTATTGATCATCTACAAGCCTTCATGAAGCTTGTGCAACAATTTTCTTCATTGCAAATCTCGTCTCTATCTCACCGTAGATTTGCTTCTGCTATAACATTGAATTTATAACATATGGTTTTGCTCTCTAGGAGATATAGATTTTTTGTGCTTTCAAGGTATAAACATAATCTTACCTTTTACTCTAATCTCAAGTAATTTCTTCATTCAAAATCTTTTGAATCTAACTTTCCAAGAAATAAAATTACTTCTCATAATGGATGTAAATTTAACTTGAGTCAATGTAGGTTGGATTTCATAAATTTTTTGAATCCTAACAGATTCAAGACTTTATAGTCCAAAAGGTTGATAATTTTTTTATAAGAAGTAAATCATTTGATGCTAAAAGAAGTACATATGATCACTCTAATGTAATATATATATATATATATATATATATATATATATATATATGATAGGATGAAGTATTATTTAAAATCCATATATGTCAAACTAACTTTGAGTTATTGAAGAGTACATATCTTGTCATCATAATACATTTTTCATCAAGTCATATTTCTCCAAATTATACTCTTGAGCTACATTTGCCAATGGAGTATCACCTTTGATTTTCAAACATAATTCTTTCTTCACGTGATCACTCTTGCCACATTTCTTAACACATCATCGTC